CTTTCACCAACAACATCTGACTGATGCTGCACAGTGACAACGGGAAGCAGAGTGGGCTATCACAGTCCTAAGAGAGGACTTGTTCCTACACTTCCTTGCTGGAATGAGCAAGAGTGAACCGAGCTCCATGAAGAATTGATATCTTTCTCTCTGATAACCCTCAGCTCATCAAAACAGGAACTGCTAAGGAAAAGAATATAAAGAAATAGCCTAATTTATATACAAGTGTAGCACACAAGAAAAACTCGAGCACTGCTTCAAAAGGCAGTTTGTCCTTGGTCCTTTGGCTGGGGCATTTTGCCAGCTGTCACTACTAGACCAACTGAAAGTGCCACACCCCAAACTGTTGTTCTCATTAGAACCAAAACAATTTAACATGAATGCCTGGAGGTACTGGCATGTCACACTGTGTTGTGTAGTCTTACAAGAATGCCTGTCATTCTCGTTACATAATTTTTAAGGATTTGCATTCATGGTCCACAAACTGCTTCTGACGCTCCTTTATATAACTAAGATCTGTACATTATGATTCTCTTACTTGATGTACTACATTTGTTGTATGGTCTCTTTTTTAAAAAGTGTAGCCTAAGTAAAATATTAGTAAGAAATACTTTTCTATACTTTAAAGATAATCTAAGGGCTCTTCCGAAACCATGAGAAATGAAGTCCTTCAATCAGACACCTGTGCCTACATTACTTACAATTAGGAATGTGAGGTTCTTCGATTAACTTACACATCCTCTTGCTTCATACATAATCATTTCCAGGGAGGTGATCTCAGAAAGTATCTAATGGTCTTCTGTTTGACTACCTGGCTCCCTCCATCCTCCATCAGTCTCTATATAGAAGCCCTTCGGCAAACCTGCCTGATTTATACATACTTTTATGTAAGGCACTAGAAGAGAACCCAAGACAAAATTCTATCCACAGAATGAGCCAATTTATTCCCTCATCTGAAGGTCAAGCTTTATAGAGTTTCTCTTGAGTTCACAATGAAGTAAATGTGAGCTATCAGGAGACAAAAATGACCCAAAACTAGACCTCAATGGATGGTGGCCCAAATATAAATTTATTACAAACATTAACATTGCTGAAGTATAAATTACACCTCACTAAAGCTACTAAAAATAAGTCTGAAAATGAGTCAGACAGGTAAGCTATCTATAAATATCTAATATGGAAACTACAAAGATACTTTTGACTATTCCATGCTCAAGTAAGCCTAAACTCCATCTACTTTAGTCACATTTCTCCTAAAATGTCCAGAGTTCTCCCTGTAATGTTAATAAAAATAACCTGAGACTAATGTAAATATCTGTAAAGAACAAATCATTACTGGTACAGCAACAAGAGAAACTCTAGTATGATTATCTATGTGGATGATAAAAATATCTGCTCAAGTAAACATAGTTGTACTTCAAGGTTTGTCACTGATTAGACACTGGACTCCAAGTAAGCATCTCAAAGAGTCTTTTCCCACCTTTATCCCGTAACTCTGTGCACTAGAGTTAAATAGCATGAAAAATAACTGGCTTGAGGATCTGGCTCGGTAGTGTAGCTTAGTGGTGAAGTGTTTGCAGAGCATTGAGGAGGCAAAAAGAAAAAAGACAGCAACTACAATTTAACACACACTCACTAAAACATCAGACTGTTCTGGGACTCTGTGTGCGTGCGTGCGTGCGTGCGTGCGTGCGTGCGTGCGTGCGTGCGTGTTGTTTGTTTGTTTTCAGGTGAGGAAATAGAACACTCTTCATTCTTTAGTTCAAACAAGGTCACACATTATCGGTAGCTGATCCAGAATTCCAGCCCAGAGGTATTCTCCTCTAAATGCTCATTCTCTACTCCTCATTAGGTCTTGGACTTCCAGTTCCCTATTTTCCTGAGTCCCAGCTCTTCATCTATAAAAGTAGATGACTAGGAGTTAATTCTCCAAGTTGTTATGAAAATTAAGGAGCACATCTCTTATATTAAGAAACTATTCAATAAATACTTCATCCTTCTCCCAAGACAACAGAAAACAAACAAACTATAAATGTTATTGTTTCTTTACACCCTACCTGGACAACCCCTTCAGGAACTGTGGTCTATCAAGAGAGCTTAGAGTGAATGCAAACACCATAACAGCATTACTTTTTTTTCTACCAGCCTTTGGCTCTGTTACTGAGACTGTCAACAAGAGTGTCAACTTCAAGGGGTGGGCATCTGTCCACAGGAACTGAGTTGAGGTCACAGACTTGTCCAGCTCTGTCCTGCACACAGATGTCTTTGTGACAACACTTAGACACTATGAACCACAGCTAGAGCCACACCAGGTGGGAAGTGCTGTATCCCCTTCTAATCCGTGGCTGGCCAGCTTATTCCCAAAGACAGTATCTCACTGAGCATATCTCAAAGTCATTCTCTTCAGGATATAGCGTCCTTTTTTTAGAATGCCTGATTATTACCCAAGCAGAAGGATGTATTTCCAGAACAGTGGTTGTTTGGTTCCTTGCACTGGAAGATACACCTTTCAGTAGTTATTGCTCAAGAAGCCAGGTAAAAACTGATGTGATGTGGGGCTCTAGTGGTGACAAGGAGGTAAAGCAGCTGTTACAGAGAGCCAACCAAAATCCCTTTTAAATTGTTTTGTTGTAACCAAAACCACTCCAGTGTCATCTGCCAAGATAACAAGCCCAACTCTAAAGGTGGTAGCTTTCTTCCAGATCAAGTGGTAATTAGGTTATATTAAAGATTAGTGACATCTTCACAGAAAATAGAATTCAGAGCAGTAGAGGTTGCTTTTCAACTTTTTACCAAATTCAGTATGATTATTAAACACTTAGTTACCTGTACATACAGTTAACAAAAGCATCGCATGCCAAAAGGACTGGACTCTAAGGGATATGGTCAGGGACTCTCAATACTGGGTATCTTGAGGTGATTATGTGTTCAATCCTGAGCTGGAATGTGACTTCCTTAAATATCTGAGTTGTGAGGTCGGTTCCAACTCAAAACAACTAAGAATGAAAGCTACATGTTCAAATGCTGACTCCTCCTTGATCTTCTTCTAACAGAAGAGGTAACTTAAATTGTCAAATAGTCACATATATATTTTCACATTAAAATTTTCAAGCAGTCACATATTTATTATATATTATTGTATAATATACATGTATCTTATTAAAATGCATACATTTCCCCTATGTGTTGGACAGTTAGACCTAGGGTCTCACACATGCTAGGCTAGTGTCCTAAAACTGAGCTACATCAAAATTTTTAAGACTGTTTTATAATTTGTAGCCTTGGCAGGCGCTGAACTTGCAATCCTCCTGCCTCAACCTCTGTGTAGGTGGAATAAGAGGTCTTCACCATCATTCCAGGAATGTTTTCCTAATCAAAAGCCTTTAATTGAAGAAAACATAGTTCCAATATGTTGAACAATGTAATTGAATATATAATTGTTGTGTTATAGGGCCAGTGAGATGACTCAGTAAGTAAAGGCACTTGTCACTAAGCCTGATGACCCTGGGCTCCACTTGGTGAAACTACAATGCTAACTCCTACAGGTTGTCCTCTGACTTCCACACAAGTGCTATTGTACACACATGGGCATATGCATGTTCATTCCAACATGGACATACATGGTCACACAGACGAGTGCACATACACACACATGATGTAATTGTTTAAAAGTTTTTTAAATGTGTCTGCTATAAAACCTGGTATTCATATTTTAAACTAATGCACAAGATGGCAGCTGTGTTGATCATGTAAAAAATAATTCAGGATATTAAGAAAATACAGGAAGTAGCCTTTCCATATACAGTCATGTGCCACCTAACAGGGAGAATTGTGTAGTTAGACAATTTCATGCACTGTACTTCACAAACTGAAATTACTATAATATCAACAAATGATGTAATCTTATAAGGCCTCTATCTTACACAATGTGATTAACCAAATGTAACTATGCAACATCTAACTACATAAATATTAAGTATCATATTTTTGAACATTAAATAAAATGTAAAGGAATCACTTTGCATGCCTGATTTAAAAAACTAAATGTTCATAAATGCATTATAGTGTTTATCTGAAAAAAAAACACTCATGGAGTTTTATGACCATCATCCAAGATCTTCTAAATTGTTAATCTACAGATAAATACGGAGTCTCAGAGATCTATGAAGGGAAAGTTACAATCACCCTGGCTGGATGGGGAGTGGGGGGGGGTGCTACTCATTGCTGTCTCTCTTCCCCATCCTCTTGGGCACTGCCATTAACATGGTTCCCTAAAACCGCACACAAATACGGTAAAAATACAAGAACCTGACCTGAGACATCATTGAGAATGTAATAGTTTGTAATATGAGTTCAAGATAAAGAATATCCCCAGTCTTGTCTTCTGCTGTGGGGCAGGAGAGACAGCAGCCTCTTTGACAGGACAGAATACAAGCCAGTGAAGAAGTATAGGTGATTCATATGTATAGATATATACCAAAGGCAGGCAGCAAACCTGCACTGATATAGCATTAGACACCAGGGGATTCAGAATGTAAGAGTTCAACAGTTGTTTTCACAAATACATGCACACAAAAAATGACATTACTTAATAAGATCATGGAAGGCTCTCCATCTATGACTCTAAGAATTCTGTCTTTGTAAATCATCTTGCCTATATTATCCATGGTGGTCATCTCGAGCTTCCTCACTTTCCCATAGCAGACCTTAGTATCCTGTATGACATAATATTTAGGGATGGGGGGTTGCCATCTTTTGAACTGAAGCATGTTGGTTTTATTAAAGCAGGTTGGGCCTGCATTCTTTCTTTACTATTATTACAGGTGGACTTGACAGCACAAGACCGTGTGTGTGTGTGTGTGTGTGTGAGAGAGAGAGAGAGAGAGAGAGAGAGAGAGAGAGAGAGAGAGAGAGAGAGAGAGAGAGAGAGAGAGAGAGAGAGAGAGAGAGAGCATGTGTTCTGCTGTGGAGGAAACATTGTTAAATGAGGTCTATTTTACCTGCTGGGCAGTTGCACTCTGAAGGTGCCTCTCTTGCGATTCTTATTTTAGCCATATGTTCATAGGATTTCTGTAGGAAAAGCAGAGGTATTAACAGAATCGTCAGTAGCACGTAGTGCTGAAGAGAACTGGACTCTCAGGGACTCTCTGGCTACATGCCTGATTTACCAGCATTCGATAGCTTGCATAAGGAATATTTACATATGTTCTTGGACTCTAGTCAAAAAGTAACAGAATCCAAGTCCTAAAATAAGACAATGACCACTGATGTGGTAGCAGGGTTGCAGGGTTTGCCTAATATCTTTCCTGAGCCTTCCATTACCACCACCCTCTCCTGCAGCCCTAGTATAGGCAGTCAGTGCACAGCCTGGCAGTGATACCAGGCAGGTCTGAAGACACGGACGTCAACAGTTAGCAAGTGAATAGCAACTGCTAACCAGTCTCACTTTCCGAAGTAAATCCAGTCCCCAAAGCCCCTAACTCCAGTGAAACCAACCTTGAAGATAATGTGATTCTTTCAACTCTACTTCAATGACTCTACATTCACCAATACCTACACGGCAGCCTTTGCCAAATATAAAACTTTTTCTTAAGTGTTTGAACTTGAAAAGATTTGAAGGGCGAAATTCATGAACCTATATAGAATTGTTTCACTTGAAAGTGATTTACCTTTTGTCTATTAATAACACCTGTGAGATCTTGTGTCCATACTGAATATTCTACGTAGAACTGAGAGATCACAAGAGACTCCAGAAAACTAAAAGAAATGAAATGCTCATCCCCACACTCCCACTATCCAGGCCGCCCTTCCCTCTGTTAGATCTCCATATATGTTCAGCATGCAAGGACTGCCGAAGAGTGAAAGCGATTTCCACTACAGACTCGCTATTCATCAATACCCAAGGTACTTAGCACTCCCTACTCGGCACCACACTCAAGCCAGCTGTGCATACAGTAAGGGTTGAAGCTAGCCCTGCAGGCTGGACTCACACCGGTGCCAAACAGTATCCACGTGCAAAATACCCCAGCCTTTCACACCTGAGCCAAGAGACGCTCCACTTTCTCCTGAACCATAGCCTTCAGCTCATCCAGGGTGTCCGGCAGGGGACGAAAGGAAGGGGTCCCTTTAGCAGATTCAAGAGCGGCAATCCTCGCCTGGAGGTCGTTGGTTTTCACCCCAAGATACAAACAAAACACCACAGCAACCACTGACAGGAGGGTCGCCAGGGCTGCGCACGAGGCCATGGTGCCTGCACAACGCTGTCCCAGGGGGCGCGGATCTTCTGATGCAGGTTCTCGTCCCCCTCCTTTCCCTGCAAGCTTCTTCACCAACATCGTGGCGGAGTCGCCGGCCTCAGCTACGCCGTCCACCTTCTACCCACTCCAATAATCTTAGGAGAGGAAGGGCCGGTTTCTCCAAAGTTCAGTCCCTGCCGCTGCACAACTAGTTGGTGGAGTCAGAGCCCCGGCTCGGAGATGGACCTGAGCTTGACTCGGTGTCGGGATCAGCAAGCATGGACCATCCTCCTGATTCTTTCTCCCCTTCCAGCCGGGAGTGAAAAGCACCCTCCGGCCGGGGGCTGTGTGGCGCCGGGGATCACAGCCGAAGTCAAACCCACCAGGGTAGCTCTTCTGACCCTCCAAGATCCGGCACCTCCTTAGTGGTCCCCCGCGCGGAGGCGCAGGATCCACGGGCCCCTCTCCCTGCTCCGACCTGTTGCGTCTGTCTGCCTATCTCTACCTATTCCGGGCTTTCCACACGTCGACCTGTCTCCCACCTAGATCAATCAGTTCAAGGCCAAAAAGAAAAAGAAATGCAGAGGGACGCGACGAAAGCGCGGCCCTCGTGGGGTGGCAGAGGAATAGTGGAGAGAGGAGAACCGAACGACCCAAGCAGCAATCGAGAGCCGCGAGGCCCCAGAAGTAGCTCCGCAGCCTCGCGTGTGCGAGCCTTAAATACCCCGGGATGCTCGCGTGTGAGACAGTGCGCGCGCGCCTCAAGCACGGCCCGCCCCCTCCCGCAGGAGCCTCCTTATTAGCATAATATATTCACCTTCGCCCAGCCCGCCTGGACCCACGAGAGGGCGGGAGCGCGGGTGGGAGTGGAGCGGGAGGTCCCTATTAGCATAATACATGCAAATATCTTCTGCAGCCACAGTGATTGGAGAGGAGACCCTTCTCCTCCAGCCACAGTGTAACTTCAGCGTCCCCTAAGGCCACCTCTCTGGCCTTAGCCAGAGGCCGAAAGGGGGTCCGCTGCGCCAAGTGACTTATTCGGGCTTAGCCCAGCGCCCCCTCTTTATTTGGCTTTAAAAATGGAGGAATGGCCTCCTGGAGCAGAACGCTGCAGCTCTCCAGATTCTCACTCAAAAGCAGCCGCAGGAGCTCCTCCATCTAGCCCTAGTGAGATGCTTTCCCTCCTCCAGCAGCTCTTTCCCACATGCCCAGAGGCAAAGTGTCTGGCTGACGTCTGTAGGGTACCTTCCCCACTTCCCTTCCTTCCCACGCCTTGCAGCAGATTCTCCAAGCGACAGGGCAAGTTTTCTCGCCCCTCCCCCGTTTCCTCTTGTCTTGATGCTGTTTCCCCCAGCTCTGGGCTCCTACTCAGTACTAGGGTGCTAATGTGTTTTCCTGATTCCCTGTTTTGTGGGATTGAAAGGGGGAGTGCCTGAGGCACACATTTCTCAGGATTTAAGAAAGAGTTGAAGAATGAAGTCAATTTTTCCTTTTCCTTCACTCTCAGCTTGCTATTCCCTCTGGATCAAATTACATAGTCTCTAATGGGATTTTTTCCCTCCTCTAAATTGATAACAAGTAGCATTTTGCATCCAATTGACGTTGGAGGGGCAAAAGAAAACTCTAATTCTTCCCCCAAAAAACCTTCCACTCTACGTGTTTTTCCTAATTTAACCATGCTAACCTCAACTAGTTGCTCGCTACTGTAATCAATGAACAAAATACTGCACCGAGCAGTGCCTTCTCATGTGTGCAAACTGAGAGCACCAACGGAGAGCAGAATAAAGACAGAGGACCGCTGCTGAACGGCTGTTCTAGACATGACAGGGAGGCTGTACCTTCTGAAATCTCAACAAGTGGTCACCTAAACAAGAGCTCAAGACCTGCTTGACAGCACCAGTCAACATGCCAACCTGGATGGGGGATTTGCACAGGGTACCACCAATCAGTGGCTGCTGAAGAAGAATCAGTTTTTTTCAGGGACCAGTCCCAAGCAGGAATCTCCAAATACATATGAGAAACACTAAATGCACTCAGTATGGTGTGTGTGTGTGTGTGTGTGTGTGTGTGTGTGTGTGTGTGTGTATGTGTGTTGGGGATTTCTAACTCCTTGAGTCCCTTCATTATGTTATCTTTTCACCAAACTATATTCTCCCTAATCACCATGTTAGCTGCTGAGTGATAACTGTATATACCAAACCCAAACCTTCTGAGCCTCAGAATCACACAGCCAACCTTTTGACGTGCACATTTCACTAGCAATTACAACTCAACCGACAACTCATTCCCAGTTTTCCTTCTCAGCAGGAGTTGTCCTGACATCTCATCCTCCTCTCCATGCTCCCCTAAGACCCTTTAGTGCATCTGTCATCCTTAGATTGTAAACCTTAATGTCTTAGCCATCCCCACTGGTACCTGCCATCTTACCAAACTTATTGCTCATGTTGTTCCTCTGCATAGCAGTTTCTAGAAATATGCCAAGAGAATAAAGATCTTGCAATTCAGACAAGCACGAAAGCCATTTTCCATTCCGATGCCAACAGTAGGACACATGGCTCGTGTGGATGATGTGTTCTGTGGAAGTTCGCCATGAGAGGGTCCTTCAGCATCTCTCCTAAGCTCTTAGAATGATCAGATCTCAGTGGAGCGATGGGGTTGGAATTCAGTGAATTTGAGGACTTTATCCAGAGGATTAGATTTGCTTTATATCTTTGGTGGGCATGATATCTCAGAAATGTGCCAGCCATTGGCACTAAGATTTCAAGACCCAGAAGATTCTCTGCATCAAACTTAAAGAATGCCTGAATCAGCAAGACTCTGTGGTCTGAACCCACATTGTTCTACAGAGTTGACAGAGCATCATTACTTTGACTTCTACGTGGAGAAATATACAAGACAGCATTAAAGTAGCTCTAAAAAATTCTATGCTTCAACTGACTCCAGTTTGCCTATGGCTCGTATCACTAACAGTAAAAGGCAAACAGCTGGTTGATGTTCAGGGCTATGATGGAAATAGAAATACTGTGCACATGCATAAAAAAACAGAGAGAAAGAAAGAGGGAGAGAGAGACAGAGACAGAGAAAGAAAAGGGGGGTGCATGCTCCAAGCTCCAAAACCTCTAAGTAGCCAAACATTTGTAGATGATGTTAAGAATCTTAAGATGGGAAGATTGTTTATGTAACCACAGGGTCCTCACAAAACAGAAGCAGATTTCAGAAGGAGAAGAGATATGTTGAGAGAGCAGGGATTTCGGATGCAAATACTGTCTCTGAAGATGGAAGAGTGGCAAAGCTTCTATTCTAGAAGCAGGAAGAAGGAGTAGCATGGGTTCTCCGCTAGAACATCCAAAGGAAATCAACCCTCCCAGCCAATACCTGGAATTTAGGAACTCTGACCACCAGAGCTGTAATTACTGTTTGTTTTGTTTTAGCTTTCTAGGTTTGTAGTTATATGTTCTGATGTCAAAATAACAATAATCAAAATCACAAGAAAACAGTCTTTATCTGTAAAGACAGCATCAGAAGTTGCCCTGGAACCACCCTAAGGCCCAAAAGTCTAACAAGCCATGCAATACTGAGTCCCTACATCTCAAGGATTTATATATTGTCTATACATTGATGTATTGCCTAGGAAAGATTTGAAGGCCTATCTTCTCTCACACCGTGCAAAATCAGGATACCCTCTACAAAAGCATAGTAAGGCAAAAACGGTGTGTTCTATTTTCTTGATGCCCCCTCATGGAACAACTCAACAACGGTCAACCAGCCAACTGTGCCGTCACTCTCCTCCTTGTTCCTATTGACAGCTCTCTGACCCAAGACTTATGTCACTGCCGGAGTTACTGACAGCAATCTCCGGGTCACCAAGTATGAGGAACAAACATGACTTCTGATGGACAGGATAGAAAACAGATGAAGTGAAAAGGGAAGAGACTGGGAACAAAAGCAACAAAATGGAAGAAGCAGCCTTATAATTTAAGAAGGTGTGACCTGTTCCTAATGCCTCAAAAAGCTAATCGATAATGGGTATAACTGTAGATACAAGAAATTTACACATCAACCAAAAAAAAAAGGAAATCTATATATATTTCAAATTTGAACTGTTCATGTGTATTTAGAAAGATTATCGATGTATGAGAGTTGCTTGGATAATCACATTATATTTTTTCATGTGGGTATTAACTACATTAAAAAAAAGACTTCACTTTCAGTTAAAAATACCTTTCAAAGGCATTAACTCTTGAGACTAATTTTCTAGAACCCAGCTTTAGCCACTGCTCCCAGCAAGTTTATCCAACAGGAGCACACATACCCAGAGATTTCTGCCTTTCTTTGTACACCCGCACCACCTGTTGTAACCTCTAAGTGTCTTAATAAAGAAAATGATGGAATAAACTGTGCATGGCATCACATGCCATTTTAAAAAAACTTCAGAGAGCATGTGCTCACAGAGTCGTCTCATAGGAAGGCAGTTTCACAAAGAGAACTGGAGTAAGCTGGAGAGAGTTAAGAGGACTGAAGCTTTCGAGATACTGCTCCTCTACAGCCGGGCAAGTTTCAATAAATCACAAACAAATTATAAATATCTTTCAGAGCAGACCAGCAGAAAAGAAGTATCTGGCTCCAAGTGACAGCTGAAAAATTCCCTTTCAGGCAGATCAAGGAACTGATCCCATTTGTACAAGCCCGGTTAAGCAAGGGGCTTACAGCTGTATGAATCCAATAATCTGGATGGTGCATACCCTCCCAACTCCCTGGCCTCTGTGCAGCCAGGGTTCAGTTAGTTGTTCTGTTATATTTAGAAGGAGCAAGCGAATTATCTTCTCGAAGTTTAAATAGCCAAGTATTAAACCTACTTAATGAATTTTTCTCCAAAATTCACCAGTTACATGGCTGATTAAAGCAAAGAAATGTGTTTTGTCAAACTTTCTAGAGCAACCTTTTCATGTGGCGCTGTGCATACAGACATGTTCATGTCATTGATCAGCCCATAGCTGAGAGCCCAGAACATTGCCCAGTTTTGCTTCTTACTCATTGGGACATGTGGAATAAATTACTTAGCTTTGTTGTACTTCTGTTTTCTCCATCTATAAAATAATTATAATAATTAACTAACTGTTAGGATCTTTTGCTAGGAAAAAGTGGGACTATGTGTAAAGGCATAACACTCCCTGGCAGGTATTAAGTGCAGTAGACCATTTAGTTTTTATTGGTGCTACCTGTTATTATCACTTTAAAAGCTCCAGTTTACTGACTGTAGATACTAAAGGCAAGAGCAATGTATGTCCATTCTCACGCTGATTTTTCATTCACATACCATGATTTTAGTCCTATTTCAGTTTAAAAGAACAGAGTAGCCTCAGGACCACCTTCCAGTTGTTGGATTATTTGAGAAATTCCCTATTCCAAACAACTCTTCATATAGCTTACATAATTCTTGATTTGTTGTACCTAGTCTAGAATAAAATAAATAAATAAAAGCATGCATTACATATTCTAATATGTCTGGCATCTTTTACTCAACATGGTTTGGGGCTTTATCCATGTATTATATATTATAGCATTTTCTTTTCAATTGTTACTTTTACAGCTTTTCTGTTAACTTGTTAGTAAACATTTGTATTATTTCTAATATTTTACTATGTGATTATTTGGTGTATTCATTCATTTTTATTGTGTGTATTTTTAAAGTATAAATAATTGTTTCATTTATAAATGAAAAATTCACTAAGACCGTTTGCAAAGAACAAACTGGGAATAAAACTCAGACACCAAAAT